AAATCCACCTTTGCATAATACTTGTTGCATTCTGGCTTAGGCAGAGTGTGTGTAAACTTTTCCAGGAAGGGGAAGAAGCACCTTGTTAGGAGGAAAAATGAGACCAAACATCTAATATTTATCAGAGTATATACAATAAACTTTTGAGTGTGTGTAAACTTTTCCAGGAAGGGGAAGAGGCACCTTGTTAGGAGGAAAAATGAGACCAAACATACTTCTAAAATTTATAAGAGTATATGCAGTAAACTTTTGAGAGCAGTGAGTTTCAATTAAATTGAGAGTTATCTCAAATATTTTTCTTTTGTAAGAATTTGAAAGAGAATTTTTGCTTAACACCTCAGATAGTTTAAAGTAGAGTTCTGTGAGAGATTTTTCTGTTTCACTTTGTGTTATTTTCTCTGACATCCTTTCTGTAAATGAAAAAGGGTAGAATTTTCAGTTCATTAGTCTAAATTGTTAGCAGGTTAGATTTAAAGCACTCGTCAATATTTAATAATAAAAAAGTCAGTTTCATGGGTAGATGGACAACACAGCCCAACAGAGATCTAACTGAAATGAATTATCTGGATTTTCATTTTGAATCTTTCTTTTGAATTTTTATTGATCTTCCTATTAGTTTTGTGTGCTAATGAGCCGAATTTATTATGTTTTTACAGAAGAATTGCTGACTAAGCTGGAAGTCTACGAAGAGCAGCAAAGGAAATTGCAAGCTGATCTTGACCAAGTTACAAAAAGGGCAGCTTCCCAGGTTAACTTGAAAATTGATTTGTATGGGTTATTGATTATCTCAAACAGTGGTAATTAGACGTTGAACAGTGTGTTAGCTGGATTTTGGAACTGAAAATTAACGTGGTGATATATGGAATTGTCAGTGTCAGTAGCTGTTCAGTTGGATAACCAGCTGGCGGGTTTTGAATCACTTCAAAAGATTGATTTCTAGTTACTTTTCCACATATCTTAAATTCTATTTTTCCAAGCAGTTTACTGTTTATTTAGTTACATTTAACGTGAGTCATCAAAGTGTGGCTGTTATTTTTTTATACAATATGAATAGCTTTCAGAAGGAAATAACAGCTGTAACCTTGACAAGTGTGCAGGTCTGGATAGCAAAGAAAATTCTGCTAAAGGGCTTTAGATGGATTAACACTATACGTTAATCACGGTAACTTTGTACAGCCCTGGCAGCAGAGCTGGTTTGAAACAGTTAATTATATTTTGCTAAAAAAAGGATTATTTTTTTCCAAATTTTTGAAGTTTTTATTTTTCTTTGTAAAATCTTAAAGTAGTTCTTATTTTGATGGGAAGGCAGAAACATTTTTATTCTGTTCATGGAAAAAAAGTTAACAGAGATTTGTTATCCCACATAAAGACACTTGAATGTTTTGCTTTGAAACACGTTCAGATGAAAATGTGCAGCAAAAATATTTTGGTTGAAAAAACCATTTTTTGTTTAAAAATATTTCAGATTAAAAGTGCAGGTGGCAGTAGCATTTTTGATATTTCACAAAGTGGTGAGGCTCACTTTCTTACATCATCTGCAGTAGCAATTATCACTTTCAGAGATTTTTATGTGAAGTGGTGAACTATGATGGATCGTTTTCTCTGTGAATGTTTTGCCAACTTAAAATGTTATTCACATTTGCAGTGGGATTTGGTAAATATATTTTCATGTGCAATTTCTCTCGTTAGGCCAGTGAATCAGGTAGTGTGGATGAATTGCAGAGTCAGCTCTTGGAATGGCAGGAAAGTGTACCAGAGTCAGAGGAGTCCCGCGATCAAGTCAGAGAAGAGAAATCTGCCATGGCCTTGAGAATGGCTCAGATTGAGGAGGAGAGAGAAGGTGAATTGTTTTATTTACAATACCATTATCATATTTATATATATATATGATATATATATGTGTGTGTGTGTCTGCTGTACTTTAGACTGAATTGACAGCACACCATCAAGTCTCATTTCTGTAGTCATAAGATTTGTATAGTGAGTGAAATTGCTTAAATTTGCAATTTCAACTTTTTCCTATTTCCTTGAATCTGTTTTTCATCTATTCATCTTTTTTGTATTATTTTTTGAGTAGATGTGCTTATTCTGTTTGCCATTTGAGTTGCTGCTCTGTAAGACTGCTTGAACTTATTTCGAGAGCTTATTGTCTGCATATGAAGGATCAATATAAAAAGTTCACCACTGAAATATTAAAGCTGCCTGCCTAGAGCAGGTGAAAGTGTAGATAGCTATAGTGTTGGTTTGAATTTGATGAATGAGGGTGATGCTTTAGTAAATGTACCTGAGACAGAGTTTCCATTTTAAATATAATTAATGATAAATCGTTCTTAATTATCTAGTAATCTGTTAGTAAGTGTCACTTGTGTAGGTCAGCTGAATAACATTAACTGGTAATAATTTGGAGCTAGTTAAAAATATTAAATTACCTAAATTATTAATAAAACAGGTAATGAGAATATGAAGCAGCTTCTATGAAAACTTGTAAAAGTCCAGTTAAATTTCAGATATTTACTGCTTTTCTTCCATACCATCTAGTACTTTATGATAACAATTTTTGTCCTGTTAGTTAACTGCATGGGGATTAATGGCAAATTTTAATGTGCATAACCTACCATCATAATTAATCCAGTTAGTTAACTTGAGCCTTCTCTTTGTAATCTGCGATTTAATTATTTTTAGTTTACATGATCAATTTTAAGTTCAGTGTGTAAGCACAGAAATATTTTCAGGATCACATCTCTTCTTTTTGAGGGATTTAAGCGTGTAATGCTTGGAAATTGAAAGAGAATAATATTCCTTTCATTAAAACTAGCTGTTATCTGTGCTAACTACAGATCCACATGCAATATTATTAACAGTTGTAAAATTTCATCTGCCTCAGTCCGTGTTTAATTTTGCATTTTTTCCCCTTGGGATAAGCATGACCTTTCTGTTTCTTTTTTCCTGCCGTTACACCTGATGAGCGCTCAGCGTCCCTTCCCCCTCCACTCCTACCCTACACTGCGATTTGCTCAGCCAGGGAGAACATGGTTTCCCATCAGTTTTGTGCATGCAGGTTCCTGCAGCGATGGCAACTTGTAATGTACTGTTGCTGATTTCTTCTGTTGTTGCTTCTTTTGAGGAAATCGCCAGCAGTACCTTATAAGATTTGCCCTTGGTGATCTGTGGTTTTTAGCAATACGTGTAACAGATGCTGGTTTTAACTTGGTTTTTTGTTGGGTTTTTTTTTTTTTTCTGTCTTGCAATATCTGTTTCTTAATTTACATTAACCAAATCATCTTCCTTCATTTTTCTTTGTAGTAACAGCTGACTCCATATTTATGGTGTAACCTTATCTAGAGAAAAATTTCTTGGCTTGTTCAAGTGGTTGTCACTAAGTAAGAATCAAATTAATTTAAATAGTCTTAGTAGTACTTGAAATTCAGTAGTATCTTTTATATTCCATCCCATAAATTGTAGAACTTTGCATGCATTAAAATTAGCTACCAATATTTAAGCAATATATAAACCCACTGCTCACCCCATCATAATCTGTCACAATTTGCCGTACACGGCAATTGTCTCTGTTGGGTTGAATGTGTGGGAAGCTGCAAAAGCGTAGAGGATGACAGTATGGATTACATTTACAGACTGGGGCTTGTTTCCCCTGCAGACCACTAAAGATTGTGCTATTTAGTGTGAATTGTGACACATGGAGATACAGACACATCCTCGGTTAATTTAAACACTGTGTATCTGAAAAAAGGTCTTCTGGGAAGTTTTTCAATTTTTGTGTTAGATATAATTGGAAATGAAAAGCTCCCTCAGCTGCTGTAAAACATTAGAAACTGTATTTACTTACTAATTGTTGTTAAAACAATGCAGAATTGAACTGAAAGTGTTTTAACACTTGCCTAAGTTATAAATAATTCTAAAGCTCTAATTTCTAGACTTTCATTTTTCATGCGACAATGGTAATTTAGTTCTGTTTTTATTATCAAATACTTAGGAGCCTGAATATTTTGGGTTCTTAAAGGACAGTGTGTTATTAGTTCTGATTATAATTAAAACCATATTACCTCAATTTCACCCCCAGTTGAATTTTTTTTTTTCCCTCCAAAGAAGTGGTTCTTATGTGGAATAATGCTGCTCCTTGAATCGCTTCACTGGCTTCAGTGCCACTTCTTGTAAACACAGGTTTAAGGCATATGATCAAAATTTGGCATTTATTTTTACGGCTTTGAAGAAGTATGTATAATGATTTAAAAAAAAAAAGTAGAATGTATATGTGGAAATAAACAAAGGTGTGTAAAATGAATGCTGATGAAGTGACAGTGCCAGAAACCAAGGTGTAATTAAAACCAGAAGTAAAATCCAATTTAGCAATCCTATTTTAAAAAGGTTATTAATGGTTTTTTCTTTGACTTTTTGACTCTAATCTTTTCTGACAACAGGTTAAGTATTTAGTTTTGAAATATTACAGGAAGAACTTAAATCTAATAGGTGTTACAGAATTGTGTGTTAATGAAATGTGTGATATAAGTAATCCTTGGACAACTGGGATGAAAGTGGAGTATTCCCAGCAGGGCTGAATCTCCTCATAGTTTCTGGTGTTTACCTCACAGATGCTTCAATATAATTTCTCTGAATTTTGCATGCTGTGAGGACAGTTGTGGAGTGATGTGGTTAAATTGAAAGCTAAATTTGTGATTATCTAATTTATTTAATTTTCAGTTAAAAGTATGGAGCCACCTTTCCTTTCTTTTCACTGGCTGTTCTGTTTTGTCTGCTTTGCATGAAACATCTGTTTCCTAATCTGCTACCCCAAACATGTTTTGTCAAATCACAAAACAGATGGGAATGTACTTTAAATGAAAAATCATTTCTAACAGTGAACAGGATGTGTACCTAAGCTTTCATATTCTGAATTTATTCAGTGTGTTTATTTACAAGTGATTCTGTATTTGTCTTAAAAAGAATGGTATTATTAATTTATGATATGATGGTTTGGTGCCAGTTTGCAGTGTAACACGTGCTTGTGACTTCCTCAAATTATCTGGCTTGGTAGCTCATACTAAAATTAAAGTTGAAAGGGACACCTACCATTTCCATAAAAATGCCTGTGATTGTTCAGATTATAAAATCCCCAGCTGTTGCAGCTGATGCCTCTATCACACAAATCAGGTACATTTTAGCCTGGCAAATTGAGCTGAGATGTCATTTGGCGTTTCAATTGGTTGGCACTTTTTTTTTAGTATCGGCATAACCTCACCTTTTCCAGTCTCCTCTATAAAGTCTTCATTTAGAGCTGGTAAAGAAGTAAAGTTAGACTTGAGTTTGTGTTGTCTTAGTGAGATACGCAGACTTTGTTCTTGTGTTCTGTGTAGTAACGTTGGAGGGAAATCACAAGGTGAATGCAATGGATTGCTTCTTTAATCTTGTTCCTGTCGGTCATTCATAGGGACTTCAGCCTGTCGCTGGTCTCTTTTCGTGTAGTAGTGTCTGATATAAATGTAACTGCTTTCCTGTGGCACAAAACTGATTGAGGATGACTGGTTCTTTCCTGGCTGCTCTGATCCAGCCATGGTCTCAGGGCAACAGGAGCTGGAGGAGGAACTGACCACAGGTCAAGGAGTGGGCAGGCTGCAGCAGGCAAGAAGAAAAGTCAATCAGACCAGCAGGAAGCTTCAGGTGGGTTAAAAGAAATAAGAGCTTATTTTTACCTGTATGTTAATAAAAATATGGAAAGCACTATTATTTATATGATGCTTTACGCTTAAATACTAAGGGCTTAAGAACTTCGGTTGGTTATCTAGCTGAAAACTTCAGTAAATTTAGTGATCACGTGCGTAGCCAGAAAATTAGAAGTTCCAATGGCATCATGCCTCTCTATTCCATGAGTTGAGTCTACTTAATTTCACATTGAAAAATAACGAGCTTCCCTCTGGAGTAATCCAAATGCTTGAAGCTAAGTGCACGCTTAACATGTTAAGGCCGTTTTTGGTTTTGGTACAATCTTTACAGATCTCTCTGTTGGTGGAGCTCTCCTGGATAATTGGTAGGAATGCCAGTTCGTTCAGGTGTACTCCTAGGTAGTTGGTGCTGTAACTCGCACGAAAAAGTTATCATATTTTGTAAGAAGAATTAGGATGTCATTGTCGCATTAACATACCATTGGAAAAATAATTTTGTTTCGTTAACTCTGATATTTTACCCTGAGGCTCAGAGGACCCTATTAACTGGAGAAATCAGGGGACCAATTAAGGACTCCTGTAGTTATCCGTTGGCCTTTCGTGTGCCTGAGGTTGTCTTCAAAGGCCTGACAGATACCATACAAAACCTGCGGGAGACTTGGCTTTACTGGAAATAATAGCTGGAAACTGGGCAGGTTACGCTAGCGTCCACAGCAATCCCATAGACTTACTTTTAGGCACCTGAATCGCTTGCTGAGTTTTAGGACTTTTAATTGAAACTATGCTTTTAATACAGAAAGTGTGTTTTACCCTTGCTTCCTTTCTTCATTAAATTTCATTTTCATGTTTTGTGTGTAGGAAGAATACAACTTTGATGGAAAACAATGCTTTCAAGAATTGAACATCACCTCGGATAGCACTGATTCAGCTGAAGGAGAAAACATGGGAGGTTGGTGGCCAGAGTACACTTCACCTAATGCAGGTGTGATAGCGACTAGACAGTTTATTAAAGCATGCACAGCATCTGTATTTTGTGTCTATTTTTGTTTTCAAATTCAACTAACAACCCATTTGTGGTGTATCCTAATCTCTGTTGAATTTTTTTGGCTTGCGTTTTCTCCCTTTTCATTTTAAAGCATGTGCGTGCTGGATGAACTGCCTAGTTTTGGTTCAGAAGTAAACTATAAATAAGACTAAAGATTGGAAATGGTTGAGCCTTTGGGCCCCTGAAATATCCTGTGTGGCAAGATCGTGTGTTCTTTAAGTTACGAGTCTTGTTCCTGTGAATGTGTTTCCAATCTATAGAACTGTTATGTTGCAAACCAGAATTGCATTCCATTGCTGTATGCTTTTAATTTAAAAATCAATTTTTTTTTTAATGCAAATGTTTTATATCGGTGTTACAGACTGCAAATATACCTTATTGTTAAAATGGAATACACTCACTTGCCAATTTTGTTGCACACCGGTTTACTTTGTTTATTAATAATTGCTTAAGATCTGATCCTGCAAGTAGAGGATTAATTGTGATTAAAGTAACATGAGCCACGCTGTTGATTGAGCCACAGTATTGTTTAGTATATTTCTGCCAGATTCTCTGAGTTCTTGAGCTATGCAACTTTAAGGGTACTTTTGCCATCTGATTTTTGGAGGTGCAGGACCTCAGGCATTTCCATTGGAAATGGTTGAGATCTGGTTGTGCCCAGCAGTAGTGAGCATCATGAATAAAAAGCTGAAACCATTTCTAGAGTTCAGGAATTTTAGTAGGCCTTTCTTGAAATAATTTTTCTTCTTTGATTTAAGTAGGTTTACGGAGTGTGGTTGAAGAGTTGGAATTGGAAAGAAATCAGCTGCAGGAACAAATTCTTTTTCTAGAAGACCGTTGTCAGGATTTGGAAGATAGAGTGCAGCTTCAAGGTAGAATGGAGGCTCTTCAGGTGAGCTTTTGTAATTGTGTAAAACCTGATGATAGAAGAGAATCATTTTATTCTGTTCATGTTCTTACCGAAATGTCAATTTGCAGCTAGCAAAAATGTCTAAAGCCTACTTGATACTTCATAATTATTTTGTCAGAGAGTGTATACGTACTGTATGATGCTCTGAAGTTGAAGCCTGTCACTTCGGTTCAGCGCACAGAGAAACTTGTTTGGAAGTCAGCTTAGTTATTTGTTTTAGAAACATAGTAAAAAGCAACATGATTTTCATTATTCTTTGCAGGAGCCCTTTGTCAGAAGGTCCAGAATTAGATTTTGTTGCTGCTGCAATAAGTCTCCCTCTTCTTGCATCCCTCAAGTTTCTTTTCTTTCTATAAATGTGTGTGTATGTGTGTGTATGTTGTGATTTTTATATACACACACATTTATAGAAAGAAAAGAAACTGTGTAAGTATATAAAATAAATTAATATTTATTTTTATATGTACAATCTACCCCCAGATATTAATTTGACATATATTTATATTGTAAAATTATTCAAGGAAGGCACCAAAAGGAACAGTAAATATTTATCAGAAAAGTTACTTTTAAAATTACATGACTGACAAGTTACATTATAATTTGTAAATCTTATTTTCACTAAATGACATAATTGATTTCTTACTCAAACTCTTCAGGCTTGGTGCATTCTTCGTAGTTCTGTGTTAAGTTGCACATACATAAAAAAGAATTATTTTAAGATGAAAGACAAACTTATGTGAATTGTTATTTGAAAATCTTGTAACAAGGCCTTTCAATACAGGTAACGTTTGGTGTAGATGAAGAAGGGCAGCTATTGAGGGCGGCACAGGTGTGTTCTGCCTCCTCCAAACCGCTAGCTTGTTTGCATTAGAGGTGACAGTTTTGCCATGTTTGTCTTATTTGCTGTTGATTCTGGATTTGTGTTCTGCTTTTGGTTTTTGGTTGCGGTTGTCTGATTTTTTTTTTTATTATGGTTTTATTTTTGAATTGGTGCAGTGGATCTGGCTAGAGTAGGAGATCTGTACTGTGTTTAAAAAAAAAAAAAAAGCTGTGTGAATGAAGCTTGCTTCCTTCTTTACTCCACAATCCCCCAAATACAGGTTTTTACATTCCTTCAACTTGAAAAAAATAGGCCAAAAAATTTACAAGTTTTGTACTGTCTTCAAACCAATGAGGAAAGTATTTTTTCAAAGCCATAGCTTCCCCTGTTACGATAAGTAAGCTGCCTTAACACAGTGCGAGTGCGTGTGTTGTTCTGGGAGTACAGCAATCATCCTTGAGTTCATGCTGTCACAGCACTGCCGAAGGAGGTATTTCTGAAAGGTGGGTTACATCTGTTGCAACTAATATCTCATTGAAACTTGTGATATTATTGTTGTATTTTGCGCTGATAGCTGCTAAGGTGCTAAAATAACGGTCTCTCCTGAGGAGTCAGATTTTCATGACTCCTGTTGTCTTACAGTGTTCTGGGTGTTTGTGTGTGATAATCCTCTTCATTGTTGTTTTGTTGCAGAATGAAAATGAACGTTTGCAAACTCAACTCACCCAGTTACGCAACCAACAAACACGAGATGCAGAAAAACATCAAATTTTGATCTCTAGCTTGAATGAGCAGCTTAAAGGGTAAAATAAAGATTTTTTGCAACTCTGTAGAGGATTAGCTTTCCTTGCTTTAAGCGTAAACTTCTAATGAGACTTATAATCTCTTAAAACTCTTGATTCCTGCTTCTGTTTGCTGTAACATTATTTATGTACTTGGAGGTTTAAATGGGAAGTGTAAAAAATAATTATTCTTTTAGGAACATAGTTTGGGGCTAGTAAGTCTAGAAAGCTTAAAGCAAGCTTTTTTTTCAAAATGTCTAAATATGTGTTTTCTTCTTAGATTAAGTGACAGAAATAGCTTCCTTGAAACTTCACTTGCAGAAAAAGAACAAAAACTGTTGAGCATGACAAAAAAACTAGAGCAAATTGAAACTTTGAGGAAACTGCTTCAAGAAAAGGATCTTCTGAACAAAGAGCTTGGTGAAAAGTTTGTGCATACTGAGCAAAAAGTAAGTTAAAGTTGTTGTTAAATAGTATTTAATTTATTAGAACTGGTGAGCATTATCTATAACTTCCTAGTTGTGTCCCAGCAGCAATATTGCTTTTTTTCCCTCTCTGAAGGTTTTTGCTCTATTTCTTTACAGTTTTGTTCATTTTGTGTAATTTCTTTGCTTTTGAAGTTGGATGTAAGGATTTCTTAGACCCAACACAGAGCTTTGCATATGTTTTATTGGGGTGATAAATTATCCTTATTTCTCAATTTCAAAGTATGAACTCCACTGTTATGTAAGCCCAATACTATAGCTCTAACATCACAATTTAAATATAATTCTATATATTTCTATCACATTGACTTTTATTTTTAATAAAAAGCTGAACGAAGCCTTAAAGAAATGCAGTGTGTATGAAGTGGAGAACACCGAGCAGAAAACAGTCATCAGCGATCTAACAGAAAAAGTTGCTACACTGAAGGAAAAGGTAACTCATTAAAATAAAGAGAAGAAATTTTATGTTCTTTTGACGTGGCCCATTTAGATGTCAGCAAAGTAACCACAGTAGCTGCTAAAGATTTCATACACTAAGCTTTGTGTATGCTAAAACAATCTGAAAAATAACGTGGCTATCTTGTGACTATACAGTTGGGTACAGATTGATTACCTTAGATACTTGTTCTACATGTGGAGTGTAAATATGTTTGGATTCTTTGTGTTCTTTTTATTCTGGTAACATTATTTTCTTGTTTAGACTTTGAAACAAGATGGTGTGGTGGAGTCGATGCAGCTGGATCTGGACCAGACGAATGAAGAGCTTGACAAACTGAATACAAGCCATTTAGAGGAAAGATCTCAACTTATTCAAGATCTCCAGAAATGTGAAAGAGAAATTGACAATCTTAAAGAAGCACTGGCAGAAAAAGACAGGGAGATGTCTGTCCTGTCTGTGAATATGACGGAATATTCTGAACAGGTTATCATTCTGAAGCGTCAAGTGCAATGCAAAGAGGAAGAAATACGAGGGATGGAAGAAGCTTTAGCAAAGGCTGAAAGGGAAACTCATTTACTGAAAGAAGTACAAACAGCTGATGTAAGAGATGCAAGTGTGAAGATATCTGTCCTTTCTGAGCAAAGTAATGCTATGAGACTAGAGCTAGAAAGACTTAGAGGGGAGAATGAAACTAAAACCAAAGAAAATGAGGAATTAATAAGACAAAGCACTGAGAACAGCATTACAATTAAGGATCTCCGTTCTGAAATTAAAGCCAACAGTGTCGCATACCATAACAAACTTGCGGAGTGTGAGTCACAAATTAATTTGCTGAAAGAGCAAATTAGTAAATCATCTGAAAAGCTACAAGAAACGGAGGATAAATGGAGAAAAGAAACAGAATATTTGAAATCTCAGCTTGAGGAAAACAATACTCTAAAGGAAAAATGGGACAATTTGCTTAAAGAGAAAGGGAGTAAAGCACAGACACTTGAAAATGAGTTAAAATCAGTTAAAGATTCATACAACAAGCTGGTTTTGGAAAATGCTAGAAAAGATGAAGAGTTGGCTGAGTTATCTAGGAAGCTTGTAGAACATACTGAAGATCAGGAAACAATTAAAAAAGAATTACAAGAGAAACAAGAGTTCATTATTTCATTAGAGCAGAAGCTTGGGGTTTTGGAGCAGCAGAATGAAGAGACTAAACTTAAATTAACTGGAGATCTGAAAGCCAAAGAGACATGTTGCAAAGAACTTAGTAACCAATTAAATGAAATACATAAGCAAATTAACAAGATGGAAATGGAGATACAGGAGAAGGCTTCAGCTAATAAGCAATTGCAGGCAGATCTCGAAGGGCAAGAAGAAAAATTGGCAGAGCAAACAAAAGCAAATGAATGTCTGAAAAAAAGTATAGATATGCTGGAAAAAGAAAAGGCACAGCTAATCAGTGAAAATGAGAATTTGTCCAAACTCTTGGATGTAAGAGAGCATGAATTGTTAAAGAAAATCCAGGCTGTGTCAGAAATAGAGAGTAAGTTGTCTGCTAGCACTGCTGAGTATGAAAAAACTCTTTCAGTACTAAATTGTGATAAAAACACTCTGGTGAAAGAGATTGAACAACTTTCAATGCTTGCGGAGCAAAAGGAAAATTCAGTTGCAGAACAGCTGCAGGAGAAAACAAAGGAGTGTAAAGTGCTGGCTGATCAGTTGTTTGAAAGCAAGGAACAGACACAGAAGTTGCATGAACAAGTGCAATCACTTCTCATTCAGCTGAAGGATTCTAGAGACAAAGAAATAAAGAAAGAAGAAATGTTAAATAATAGGTTGTCTGAATGCAGTACCCTAAACCAAGAACTCAGCCATAGTAAGGAAAAGAATTTACTACTGCAGGAACAAATTCAAAGCATAACTTTGGATTTTGAAGCTGCAAACAGGTCTCTAGAAGAGAAAATCCTTCAAAATGATTCATTACGTAAGGCAGTGGAAGAAAGTAAGTTTTGTGTTGCAGAGTTGCAGGATGAAATTAAAAATCTTAAAGATGAAAAAACAAAGTTATCTCAGTTGGTAGAGGAAAGAGACCTGACTGTAAAAAGTCAGGGTTCAGAGCTTGAGAAGTTTCATAGGCAAGTTTCTGAAAAAATGGAAGAAAGTACAGTGTTAAATAATCAGCTACAGCTATTAAGCAAAGAAGTGGATGTGCTTAAGCATGAAAAGGAGGACTTTTCAAACTTATTGAGTGAGAAGTCACGTGAGTGTGAAATTCTTCAGTCACAGCTGATACAGCATCAGTCTGAAATTACTTCGGTACGGCAACAAGCACATACAGCAGCTCTAGAAAATGAAAAATTGAAAGTAGACATTGAAACAGTTAATGTTATGTTAATGAAAAAGTCAGACGAAGTAGCTGCTTTAACTTCACACTCGTCCCAACAAAGTCATAATATTTTAGCGCTGAAGGACCAAATTGATGGCCTCTTGATTGAAAAAGAAAACTTAAAACTTGCTGTTGAAGGAAAAGAAACTGTCCTTTCTGAAAAGGAGGCTTTGATTCAGCAAATGAAAGATAGTAAAGTGGCAGGAGAAGGACAATATATGCAAATCATTGCAGATCTGCAAAACCAAATACAAACGCTAGGTTTGGAAACCAGCCAGCTGAGACAAGCAATGCATGAAAAAGAAAATGAATGTAAGAAGCAATCCCAAGAATTACAGTTATTAAAAGATAAATCTGAAGAGTCTGATGTACTTAGGGTTCAACTGTCTGAGAATATGGAGGTTATTTCTGACCTTCAGTGTCAGCTTAGAAATGTGACAGAGAAGTCATCCCAGTTGAATGAATCAATTGTACAGAAGGATGAATTATTAAAACAAAAGTTAGATGAATACATCAGTTTAAAAGCACAGCTTTCAGAGGTACAGGAATCTTCAGTTTTGCAGCAGAAACAATTGGAGCTTTTAACGTCTGAAGCAGAACAATTAAAAGGACTTATTTCAGAAAAAGAATTAACCATCAACAATATTTCGCTGTCTAGTGAGAAACTAAAGACGCAACTTCAAGAGAAAGAGAATGAATGTGAGGTCTTAAAGAAACAGGTGGTACAGCTGGAGGAAGTGAAAGTGCATTTAGAAAAAGAAATGCAACATCGGAAGAATGTAATAATTGAAATGGAGCAGTCCCTATCAGAAAAGGAGTCATCTCTTACAGAAAATGAAAGTCTCCTCAAAACTCTGAAGGAGAAAGCAAAGAAAGATGAAGAGAAGACAAATTTAATTTCTCAGCTCAGAAGTGAGGTCCATGAACTAACACAAGAACTGCAGAAATCTAAAGAACTAGTCCATGAGAGAGAAAATGCCTTTTTATCTCTTCAGGAGAAAATTGAAGCACAGTATGAACTAAGAACTGAGTTGAATGCAGTTCTTGGGAAAAAAGAAGAAGTTATTGCTGAACTGCATAGTCCTTTAAAGGGGAAGGATACCAGCGTGCAATTGGCAGATAGCAACGTTCATGTTCTTTCTAGTGAGACTGAGGTTCTCAGAGAAAAATTAGAGAAAAGTAGTACAGCCATGAAAAACCTGACTAAGGAATTTCAGGAAAAGAATGAGAAGCTTGACATTAATCAGAAGAAAATTGATTCTTTGACAGTTGAACTTGACTCTCTTAAAAATGAACACGAAAAGGCACTGGACCAAATAAGTACATGGGAAGAAGAGCTACAGCAGAAAGAATTGGCGGTGGAGTCTCTGCGTGTGAAGTGCGCTGAACAGGCAGACAGCGTAGCGCGTTTGAAGTTAGAGTTGAACAATGTGATCTCCAAATCATCTCAAGACTGCCGTGACAATGCACATTTAATAGGTAATCTGCGGTGCCAAGTGGAGTCTTTAGAGAAAGAAAAAAATCGGTTGCAAGAAGATGCTGCTAAACTGATGACTGAAAACACACAACTTACTACATCTCAAAATCGTTTGCAAAATGAATTGGAAGAGCTCCGAGAAATCAATGAAAAACTAGAAACCAGTGAGAATTATTCAAGAATGCAGATAGATGCTGTCAAGCTGGAGATGAAGACTGAAAAAGAGAAGTTACAGATGCAGGTTAGTGTAAAGGGTGAAGAACTTTCTAAATTAGAGCTTAAATGTGAAACTCTAGAACAAAGTCTGCTTGAGTCAGAAAACAAATGGGTGACAGAACTTGATAGGGCAACTTCACAAACTAATAATCTTACTGAGCAATTGAGCAGTTTAGAAAATGAAATTAAATCAAAGGATAGCAAAATCCAGTCTTTGCAGCAAGAGCTGGATCTTATAAAAGAGGAATTAACTCAAAGCTTGTCTCAATTACTTAGTAGTAGGCTTTTATGTAAAGAAAAGAAAGCAGAGACTTCAGATTCTGAACTGCAGCTAATGGGTAGTAAAATTCAGCTGGAAAAATTCTCCACTCTGGTAACCACTATTTTGAGCAAAGAAACAGAAGGAGAACAATTGCAACTGGTGCTTTTAGAAAAACAGAAAGAAATAGACACCATGAAAGAAGAATTAAAAAGTATGCAGTCACTTGAGAAGCAGAAGGAGTTGCTGCAGAACGATATTGAAAAGATGGAGGGCAAATACAAATCTGAAATCGAATGTCTGTCAAAAGAAATGGTCACAGTCAAGGAAACGTTATGTAAACAACAGTCTCTCTTGCAAGAAAGGGAAGAGTCTTTTGCAGAAATAAATAAGCAAGTTGAATTTCTTCAAGACAAGCTAAATAAATCAGAACAAATAGTAAGAACCAGACAAGAAAAACTGCACATTGAAGGTAAAAAAGTAGCAAGTCTCCTTGAAGAAATGGGAAAAAAAGATCAACTCATTGAAAACTTAACTTCTCAGGTGAATCAGCAGAAGGATTTAATTTCTGGTCTTAGCCAGCAACTGAAAGAAAAGGACTGTTCTGTTACCCAGATCATGGAATCACTGTCTAATGAAATGCTGAATTTTTCTGAAGAGAGAAATACGTTAAATACCAAACTGCACAACCTTGAAGCTGTTCATAGTAGTTCTGTAGGAGAGCTAAACCGAGTATTGCAGGAACTTGAGGACTGTAAGAAAGAACTGGAACATAGCCAGGTTACGTTGAGCAGTAGAGAAGCTGTGTTTAAAGATTTAATGAATGAAAAAGAGGAGATGCATTTTAATCTTGAGAAAATGGGCAAGGAAAAAGAGAATCTGAAAAAGAAACTTCAAGCAGCATTGATAATAAGAAGAGATCTCATGCAAAAAGTTGGAAAACTAGAAAAGACTGGACAGGAAGAAATAGAAAAAGAGCAAAAAAAAGCAGAGGAGCTGCTGAAGAGAGTTAATGAGTTAACAGACAAGCTGAAACTAGCTGAAGTACAAAATAAAGATTTTGAATCTCATCTTGGAACTTTGAAGCAACAACTTTTAGAAAAAGATGCCAAAATAAGTGATTTGACTGACATTTTGTCTTCAAAATCTTCTTATATAGAGAAACTTCAGGACAATATTGCAGAACTAAATGATGTCATTGCTGAAAAACAAAATCTATGTGAGCAGAACCTAAAATCTTTAGAGGAAAAGGACGACATGCTTGCTCGTATGCAATCTATGCTTGATGAAAAAGCAAGCGCATGTGAAGAGGAACGTTCTCAGCTGCTCTTATCTCTTGAAAAGCTGAAGTCTGAAGTTATGAAGAAGGAAGAATTGTTGAAAAATTCCAGTTCAGAAGAGCCTGGTTTAAGTGCTGGGGACAGGAAGAAGTGTCTGGACCCTAACGATGCCATTAATGTCATGAATCAATTAACAAAAGAAAAAGAAGCCTTAGAGAGGGAGCTTTTGGACAGGAAAGAAGATATGAAAAAAATTCAGAAAGAAAGGGAAGAGCACACTAAACTTGCAGCAGATTTTGAGGAACAAAAAATCCATCTTGAGCAACTCAAACAAGAGCATAAAGGACTCTGGGAAGTTCTTCAAACAAAGTGTAAAGAACTTGACTTTAATCCTTTTTTTGAAAGAGCTGACTTCGGCTAAGGCAGTGCTGGGAGAAGCAGCAGCTGACCCAAGGAATGTGGAACTGGACAAACTAAGCAGCAAGGTTCAGGTTGGATCTTTAGAAGAGTCAGAAAACATGATCGCTTCAGTGGCAAGTAAAGATGCTGAGTTAAAAGAACTAAGAAGTAATTATGCAAGACTTCAGGAGGAAACAGAAATGTTAAAGAAAGAGTTGAGAAAAATATCAGTTGAATTTGGTGATGAAGGAGAAGAAACAAGCAGCTTAAACTATCTGAGACAACAGGAGCAGGACCAGGAGCAATGTAAGGACGGCTCGTTGGAGGACATAAAGCAGCTACAGAAAAAGCTGAAAGCATTTGAGGCTGAAGCTAGAGACATTAAGACAGCTCTTGAACTTGTGAATAAAGAGAAAGAAACACTTATTAAAAAAAGTGAAGAGGATTACAAGATGAGCCAGGAAGAACTGCAGAGATTGAGAACTGAAGGTAAGAAGGAGGTTGCAGAAAAGAATGAGGAAATAGAAGCATTGCGTTGTTCACTTACGGATTTCAAAGATAAATTTGATCTGGAAAAGGAACTATTAAACAAAGCTGTAAAGGAGGGCCAAGAAGAAGCCCACCATTACAAAACAGCATTTGAAGAAATGAAGAGTGAAAAAGAGAAACTTCTCAGTTCCTTAGAAAAGTCTAATTTGGAACTAATGGATATGAAAAAGGAGGTAAAACACTTCAGTGAAGAAAACAAAAAGCTTGTGACAGAGCTATGTATGCTACGTGAGAAGGCTGAGATGAGTGGACCTGTGGTGTCGTGCAGAGAGCTTACGGAAGAAAATGGTACTGAAAAAGGACTGGGAGAGTTTTGTTCAGAAAGTAATTCCCTTCAAGGACAGTTCCAAGATCAAGGCACTTGTCTTCAACCATTGGAGGCTGATTACTCTGGGAAAACTAAACTGAGAGAAGCAACAGAATGTCAAATGCAGAAACAAATGAAAATGGTGGAAGAGCCACTGGTAAAAACTGCAAATGTAAATGATTCTAAAACACAAGAGCAAAGAACTATAGCAGAGGAGAAGTCCAGAGAGCGCCTTCAGAGAAAATTACAGGCAGCTTTAATATCACGCAAAGAAGCCCTGAGGGAAAATAAATGTCTAAAAGACCAGATTGATAAGCTGGTGTTGGAAAGAGAAGAACTGGTGAACAAGACAGGTGTGCTTGAACACTTGTTAGAGCTTGGTAGAGAAAAACAAAGTTCAAATACTGTTTCTCTGTTGTCTGAAGAGGAGAACCTTGTTTCTGAAAATGCGAGACTGTTGACTGAAAATGAAAACCTCACTGCAGCATGTGAAAGTCTTAAATCCACCATGGAGACGATAGTTCAGGAAAAAGAGGCCTTTTCTTTCCAACTAAATACCTTAAAAGATTCTCAGACAGTTGAATTAACAGGATGGAAAGCTAAACATAGTGAATTAAAGCAGGAGTATGAATCACTTCTTCAGGCTTATGAGAATATCTCTAGTAAAATAGCAGATATGAGGCAAGTTATTGATCTCACTAGAAAAGAGAAGCAAGAGGCTATCCAAAGGCTCAGGGAAGGAGAATCTGAGAAGGAGGCTCTTGAGAAGCGTTTACAAAAATGTATCGATGAAAACGAGGTTATTAAGAATCAACTGAAACAACTGAGTGAATCCAAGAAAATGGAAGTTGATGAATTACAAAGGAAGGCAGAAAGGCAGATCCATGAGCAAGAGGTAAGGATGCAAGAACACCAGACTCGTCTTCATGAACTCACTGATCAGAATCATCAGCTCATGGAGGAGAATGAGCAGCTAAAACAAACTTCTGAAAATTTAAAGCAGGCTTTAGAGAAAATTCAGAATGAAAATGATATCCTTCATAATAACATCAGTGTAACTAAAGCAGCTTTGGGAGAGCTCCAAGGTCAAATGGAAGTGTACCAAAATGATACACAATCTAAAATCAATGATGCGTTACTCGAGAACGAGTCATTGTTAAAGGACATTAATGTGTTAAAGGATAAACTCGCTGAAAAAGAACAAAATGTGCTTGTCCTAGAACAAGAAAGAAAATTAATTTCAGAAAAAGCGATAGAAACTGAAAAATCTTTGGACCATAAAAATCATTGTCTAACAAAGCTGGACATGGAGTATAAAAGTCTGACACAAGAAATTGTTAGTCTAAATGAAAAAGTTAAGATTTTAGAGGATGATAAATGTCTGTTACAGGAAGAATTGGAAAATGTACAAGAAAGTTCTTACAAAGTAAAGAATGAGAGAGAATTTCTTGAGACGGAATTGCTTAATCATGTTAAAAAGGTTGATCATCTTACTGATAGACTGAAATCAGCACAGGTACAGAACAACTTGCTGTTACAGCAACTGGAAGAATTAAAGGCAGAAAAATGTAATGTGATTAGAGAAAAAGAAGAACAGCAGTTACACCTTGTAAAAGTGTTTGAGGAGAAGGTGAAAAGTGCTCAGAGGGATAATAATGGAAGTAAAAACAAAACAAAAGAATTGCAAGAACTCCTAAAGGAGAAACAGCAGGAGATCAACCATTTGCAAAAGGATTCTATCAAGTTTCAGGAGCTGATCCTGGATTTGGAAAGGTCTGTGAAACTGTCACAGTCGAAAAGTGAAAAATTTGAAAAGGACTTAAGTAACACATCAGAAAAACTCGTGAAGTCAAATGAAGAAATATGTTATCTCAAAGGAAAGCTTTCTTCACAGATGAACTTGTTGCGTGAGTCAAAGAATGAAGTGGACAGGCTCAAAGATGAGATTCTAAATTGGAGAAAAGAACTTAAGAAGAAAGAAGACGAACTACAAATTCAAAAGAAAGAATACGAGAGAGAATTGGAATTTAACCTTCAACAACTGAAATCCGTTCACAAAAGAGAATTTTTGAACCTAGAGGAAAGACACAGCGCCCTCGAGAGAGAAAAAGAGCGGGCAGTTAGTGAGATTCGTGGTTTGCAAGAGGAAGTTAGCATTAAGGACTCTGAAAACAAGAAACTCCAGGCAGATTTGAATGCAGCTTTGGCACGATTAGCTGCTTTTACAAAGTGCATGTCCTCTCTTCAGGATGACCGGGACAGGGTCATCACTGAAATGAAAACCTGGGAAATGCAGTTCAAAGAGGCCATCCAAAGTAAAGAGAAACAGCTAGAAGACAGTAATAAAAGAATAATGGCTTTACAAAATGAATTGAAAGACAAAATAACTCAGATTCAAGAATTGAATATCAAATATTCTGTGGTAGAGGAAACAAAAGATGAACTATACTCGAGGCAAAAATCTGTTGATACACAATGCTATGAAGAGCTCTGCAGAATAAAGGAAGAAAATCTGGTGTTTTTTAACAGGCAGCAAGAGTTGGAGAGTGTTCTTCAGTCAAAAGAAGCGGCCTTGCAAGCACTCCTTAAAGAAAATAATTCTCTTAATCATCTCGTAGAGAGTAGTAAAAGTGCAGGAAGAGAGCTAAAAGTTCTGGAAAGGAATTTTAGAAGACAAGAACAAGAATTACAACAGCTTCTAGCTGAGAAGGAAAAAATTAATGCTGAATTGCAAAAGCAGATTAGCATTTCTGAGCAGATGAAGATCATGCTAAATAATAAAGACAAAGAAATTTCCTTACTCATTTCTGCAAAAGGTGATGAAATTTCCGACTATCTGGTGCAGGTACAGACTCAACATAGAAAACAAATGGAAGAGTATGAACTTCAGGTGAGGTCTTTGCAGATAGAGAGGCAACAATCCGAGGAGTCCTGTCAGAGGATGGAAAATGAATTAAGAAATCTCCAGGTGAAAGCAGACAAAGCAGGTCAAGATAAGGCTGCAATTGCTAGTGAAATAGATACCTTTAAAAAATCAATGTCATCCCTTCAGAATGACCGGGATGATCTTTTTTCTAAATACAAAGAGCTGGAGCGTCTTCACCAAGATGTCTTAAATGAGCGGGATAGTCTTCTAGTTGGCAATGCAAGTGAGAAGAATGCTTTGAAACAAGAGTTAAGGACGCTTCTCAATCAGATCGATGATCTGCATTCTGAAAATGCAATGCTGAGTGCACAGCTGATAAAGTATAGGGAAGATCTTAACCAAGTTTTATCTCTGAAAGACCATCAGCTGAAAGATTTACTTAAGCAGAAATTGGATTGTATTAAACGCCTTGAACAAGAAAAATATGATCTTCAAAAACAAATAAAAGAAATGCAGCTTTCCAGTGAACTGCAGAAAGATGCCTCTGTGTCTTTGGAACATGAAAACAAAAAATTAGTGTCTAAAATAAATGATTTAGAATTGTTAATTGCGTCATTAAACAGAGAGAAACTTGTTTCTGAATCTGGAGAGAACCTGCTAACTAGTGATCAGAAAAAAGAATGTGTATCAAATGGACAATATGGAGAAAAATTTCAAAAGAAGATTCAAGAACTCCAGAAATCAAGAGGCAGAAATACCAAGGATGCAGATGAGGAATACAGTAAGACTCTTTTGACACTTGAACATGGAGGTGAACTTGATGCTTTTGCAGAGAAGATGATACTTGAAATTCAGTCTCAAAACAGTGAGCTGAGGTCCCAAAACGAGGCCTTCGGGAAAGCAATGACTGCCCTACAGAACGATAGAGATAGGATCATAGAGGACTTGAAGGTACTTCAGAGCAAATATACGTCTGAACTCAAGACTGAAAAAAAGAGAGGAGATGAACTTGAGGCTGAACTGGATGGCTTTAAATTGCATCTTATCAGTATGCTCAAAGAAAATTCTCTTCTGAATCGGGTTACTTTTGATGCTGCAGATAAGGTGACGCTTGATCAGATTGCTGATGCAATTGAAAGTCTCTGTAGGACCTTGGTTAGTCGTGAGCTGGAGATTAGCAGGCTCTCATCTGAGTGTGGGAGTTATGTGCACCAGATTGAAGCGTTTTCCAAGGCTATGGCCAGTCTTCAGGATGACCGAGACAAATTGCTGCAGGAACTCAGCCATCAGAAGGTAACTTCTGAAACAAAGCAGGGCACAGCTTCAATTCCCATTGGTTGCAACAGCGTCAATGAGATAAATTCTTTTAAAAGTAATTTGGATATGCCTCAGAACAATTGATTGGAAAGTTTTAATTAGCTACGTCACTTGGTGATTTTTTTTCATGCAGAGAATGCTTGGAGATGTTACAGATTCTGAAGTTTAACTTTGTAAATGATGGGAGTGGTAAGAAAACATGTGATTAGAGAAAGCATGCTTACAATTCTGGGAGTTTAGGTCATTATCCTCTTAAACAGGAGTAAATGGGAAAAAACATCATTCAGTAATTAGAATCCTAGCACTAATAACATTTCAACCATATAGTTTTCATTCCAGTTCACTAATTGTGTTTATCAAACGTAGGCTAAGGAAGGAGCCAGCCTTGCAGCTGTTGAAATATCAAAACTGAAGACCAAGGTTGATGATTTGGAGAAAGCATTGCATCAGACAAAAGCCTTCCAAGCCGAAACCGAGAGAGAGATCGTGTCCTACCAGAATGAGCTTGCTGGATTAAGGTATGAACGTTAAAAATTAACAAACAGTACACGCAGCTCTTGTTTAGAATTCTTCAGTGACTTCCCAACCTGACATAAAACTGACACAAAACCAAAATCA